TACACCCATATTAACCAACTACCAACTTTCAATCCGGGATAGAAACGCAAACGCAGACGCAGACGCAGAGAGAAGAACCGGTCAAAGCGAACGAGTGAGTAAGGTAGGTAGGTACACTACACTAGCGTACAGTAAGCGAGTTTGGCTCTCTCACTTTCAGGTTTTTCGTAAACTCATCAGCTTCTTGTTCCCCGGCCAGACCGTGTCTCCGCCCGAAGAGGAAGAAGAAAGGAAGAAGAAAAAAAAAAAAAAAAACACATATATATCAGATCAGATCAGATCAGATCAAAAAACCGCCGACAGTACCGTAAGTCCTTTGAAATCTCCGCTCCGGCGCCCCTGCGCGATAGCAAACCCTCCACCCGAACTCCGGATCCGTATGGAAAAAGCAGACACCCGCACCACCCGCCCCGCCCCGCCCCGCCGCGGGTGCGTTCTATCAGGGACACATCGTCCTCGGCGCCGGCCGGTGGCCGCCGCCCCCGCCGGCTACTCCGAGTCGAGCATGTTCGAGTCGGCGTCGCAGTCCTCTCCCTCGACCGAGGTGACGGTCCAGGTCTCCTTCTTCTCCGTGACCGCGCCCGAGGCGGGGTCGACGACCGTTTCCATCAGCTGCATGATCCCCCCCTTCATGGAGCCCAGCTTCTCGTGCAGCTTCTGGTTCTCCTTCCGCAACCGCGCCAGTTCGGCCTCGCTGTCTTCGAGCCGGGTCCGCAGGTCTTTGATGCAGTTCTGCTGGCGGTCGCGGTACAACCTCTGCGCCTCGCGGTTCTGAGCCCGGCGTCGCTGTTGCGCATTAGTGAGTGGGTGGCGTCGCACCAGGTCACCCGGGGGACTTACAGCCGTCTTGGACTGCTGACTTGACTCCGGTGCAATCTCAATCGAGACGGGGGAGACGCTCGGCCCGTTGCTGAGGTACGGGTCGATCGGTTCCGGCTGGTAGCTCCCGATGTACTCCGGTATCGTGGGAAAAGACTGCATGTCGGGATTAACGATGGCGTCCCCGCAGGAGGAGAAGGAGAGGAAGGAGAAGAAAGAGAAGGAGGAGAAAGAGAAGGAGGAGAAGAAGGAGAAGGAGAAGCAAGAGAAGAAGAGGAACAACACGAGAACAGGAACAACAAGAGGACGACCTCGAAGGAATTGTCCCACCTCATTCGATCGATAGAGTTGATTCGCGTCGCAGGCATGTAAGCTGTGTTGATACGAGTTGTTGATACTATCCCAAACGTAGCTAGCCCCCGGCGGCGCTGCTGGCAACGGGTGCGACGAGGCCTCGGGTCCCAGCACGAACGTCTCCGGGGACGCCCACGAGGACATGGAATCGCCGGACTTTGCACTGTCGCCAATCTGCTCCGTCGGGCTCGGGTGATAGAGGCCGGGCACGGTCTCGGTGAAGACTTCGGCGGGAGGTGTGATCTGTCACCGGCCGGTCAGTTGCAGTGTCCCACGAGAGGGGGGGGGGGGGGGTACGGAGGGAGGAGGGTGGGCTGCTACCATGGATTCGGTGGGCTCGACTTTGGGCCGGGCGTCCCTCTCCAGCATCTCAAGAAACTTTTTTTTCTTTTTTTTTCTTTTTTTCTTTTCTTTTCTTTTCTTTTCTTTTCTTCTTTCTTGTCGGATCGGGTTGGGGAGGGCGTGCCGTGTTATTCGATTTCGAGATGATCAGAGGCGCGGCGGGAATCGGGTGGAGGGGAGAGACGATAATAGCTGCTAGCTCTCTCGAAGCTGCGATAATCCTACCGTATATAAGAGATCATTGGGCGGTTGCGGGTGTTCCTTTATCGCTATCAACATAGTGGCCGACCATGCATTTTGTGCTGTACTGATTCCTTTGTGTGGAACAATATGTTTATTGTCGCTGGACCGGAGATTAAACTCTAAGCTCCATGTGAACTCTATTTGGGCAGGGCGATTTGGCAGTTTTGTCGACGAGTGAAACCCAGAGTGCAATACCTTGTTTTTTTTTTTGTTTTTTGTTTTTTTGTTTTTGTTTTTGATCTGCTCTCGGTGTGTGGCTCCCGGCTTAGTAAATAGGTTTGCCGGCCCTGGTAGGTCGGGAGCCATGTCACGGCTCGTGGTCCGTCATGTGTAATGAATGGGTTTGTGCCTGTACCTGTGCCTGTGCCTGTGCCTGTTGCCTGTGCCTGTTGCCTGTGCCTGGTCCTCCTGGATCCGCGATCATCTTTCGCGCGGCCAGGTCTTGCTACGATCTGCGATGAGCCACGCTGAGGATCGATGTCCAAGAGACGACTACGGCTGCCCGTGGACCACGACCCACGACCCACGACCCACGACCCACGACACGGCGGACTGCATCGCTTCCCGCCTCACGCCTCACGCCTCACGCTGCACGCTTCACGCTTCACGCGATGAAAGCGGAAGGAGCAAAGTGCGCTCTGAACAAATAGTCGTAGTAAGAGGCTTCGACGGCCCAAAGTGAAAGCATCCTTTCCATTATTTCTGCGCAAGGAAGGCCTAGGAAGGCCTGCGAAGCGAAACTCTATTAAAGCAATACTTCCCAAAGAAACAGCCAAGGAGGCAAAGTGCAGCGCGCCCTTAATGTCCATAACACATAAGCACTCTTCACCTGCCAAGCGAAACATAAAAACAGGATGGATGAAAGCTTGGTCGGCTGCGCGCGAAAGCACCACAGACGACTCGGTCGACTCGGTCGTCCGGACGTCGTCGTCGGCGTACGGTCGGCGGACGGGAGTCTACGGGAGTCGGGGAATACGGGTGGGCGCGCTGTTCGGTTCGTGAGTAATGTGAATGGCCAGCCCGCCGCTTGTTCTCCCCTCAAAAATTAAGGGACCTCCAGGATTTTGACCTCACCTCTCCGGCAAACTATGTGGCCCGGTCAGCACAGCCAGAGGGCAGAGTCGGACCGCACGTGCGGGGGGGGGGTGACGACCTACAAGGCCTGGAGCAGGCTAAACGAGTATGGTACTAGTAGGTCGTAGGTCGTAGGTCGTAGGTCGTCGGTCGTCGGTCGTAGGTGGTTTCCTGCTCCCCGAAGTAATGGATGGTTATCATCAAGATCCACCAAGAGATCCTTCACGATAACCTCGTATGGGAGATGCAGCCCTATCAATAGTAGCGTCGGGTCTGTGCATATCGCGCCGCGGGTGTCGGTGGAGGTGGTCGTCGTGGTCGTCGTAGAGTACTACCGGTACACTATACTATACTATACCAGTACTATACTATACTATACTAGACTCGCCCAACTCTGGCCAGCGTCGGCTCGCTATCGAAGCGTAAATGCCGCTTATCCTTACCGAAAGTAAACGACGCTACACCCCGCAGTCCCCTACATTTATTTATTCATCCTTCCAGCCCCCAGGCCCCCGCTGGACCCCCCGCTGGCCCTGCTCCTGGAAGGACTGACTGACTCTGCCATTCGGATACGGATTACCAGAAAGACTGCCTCCCTGGTGTGGTGACGTTCTCCCTGAGCCGAGCGCGCGCACAGCTGCTCCGGGTCGAGCGTCAAGAGAGAGAGAGAGAGAGAGAGTGCCTGGTTGTAGGCTGTGCCGACGCAGGAAAACGGTAGCATGTCGGTCAGTCTGAGATATGGAGCGGCCGGGGAAACACGCTTCAGAAAAGTGGTCGGTCGAAAGCTGCCTCCCTGAGTCCCGTGTCTTTTGGGGGTGGGGGGAGGGGATGGGGAGGGGATGG